TATGATTTTAGGCCAAGGTCCATAAAAGGATTTTGAGGGCTCCACACTCAGCATTACAACACTTAACTTTTAGGCACCCATCTATCCACTGTAATCCAGAAACCCTTGGTTAGATACCTAGGCTCCCTGTACAATACTCAGATAGAGAGAAGCATCTGGGAATGGGATCCACCAAAAACAAAAAAAAGTATACTTAGCAAGGATTCACCTAACCTGGCCAAAAACAGATGCTAACCAGACAGGTCAGTCCTAAATCTTGCCCCCTCTTAGGGAGTTAAGCACCAAGCTAGAGGGCGATACCTATCCAAGTTTGAGATTCACAAAAATCTGAAGTCAGGTGACACAGCCATTTTTTTTGAGAATGGTAGTGGTGCATGCCCACTGGCCACAAAAAAAAAGCCACAGCAGGAGGAGAAGGATGTAGTGCATATGAAGTCCTAGGGAGCTTTTACAGGAAAAATTAGTGAGTATAGGCACCTAAGATTAGGAGGCATCTTAGTGCAATGAGAGGAAGTCTGAATAACAGTGGCACCTAACCTGACTGTTAGCTAAGTCCCTTTGTGAATCTGGACTGTTGTCTTAAAGAATGACAAACATTGGTCTTTCCAATATACCATTTTCCAACTTTGGAAAATTCTGCTTAGCTTCCATTTAGCTCCCTAGCCCAGGCTAGACCTTCTTAAGCCACGTTTGAACTTCCTAAGAGTTGGTTCACTCTCTTATTGAAAAGTATCTATGAGGCATATCAGAAGCCTTTAATTCTGGAAGAGATGGGCATTTTCAGCCCTACGACTCTCATTTTGTATTTGATCATTGCCGGCAACTTGTTCTCCAGTGGAGTCAATGGGATTTAAAGTTATGCTTAAATCTTTCACTTAAACAGAGCCTCATTATTTTAAAGCTCCATTGTTTCCAGTATTGTAAGAAACCAAGATCAGAGTTTACATGAATACAAAACTTACTTATCTTTAGTAGGTGGCCTCTCTGGGACAGCTTGGAGCATAAGCCAAGATTTATATCACAACATTTCTTTCAATACCTTTAGCTGAGAAAATAAGACCTCAGGGTGCAATTTTCAAAGGCATGCCTAATACGTTTAGGCTCTTCTGGAAATCCTACTTTCAGTCTTTCATGTTTACAGGCCATCATATATCAATGCCTAAATTTTCAGGAAAGGAAAGGAGAGGAAAGGAAAGGAAAGGGTTCCTTCTTCTCCACCACTGCCCACCCGTCATCTTTTTGACCAACAGAATACAGATGGCAGTAAATATTACGAGACAGCCAGCACTCTCTTGATATAAACAGTGTAGTCCTACGGCATCTTAAAGCCTCCAGATGTTTGTACAGATTTAATATAATACAATTATTAAGTAAAAATATTAAACGGAGCAATGTATATAAACATGTAAATACTACGATTTTAAATTGCATATAATGTGTGTGTGTGTGCATGTTCTCACTTGCTGAAAGCTCTTTTTTTTTTGGTCTTATGTGTTCTAGGAAGACTCAATGTGTGCAGCTATAGGCATGTGGATTATTGTGTTATTTCCAGCATACACTATATATAAAATTGAGCTTAACTGTTCAGCTAACTTGAAAATTGCAGCTCTATTAGATTTTAAGTAACAATTGTCCATCTGATACAGGAGGAGAAAGGAGGGTGTTTATTTTCTTCCAACAGCCAAAAGGTGATCATACTTATAAAATTTGTTGAGATTGTCCAAGAAAGTGTGTAAAATACTCATCCATCACTGTAAGCCCCTGGTCAGGGAGTGACAGTGCAGTAAATATCTTCAGCAGCCGTCTTGGAATGTACAAGCTGTTTTCGGTAGGAATTTTCAGCACTCACATAAAACACACTGTCATGAGTGACTGCCTATGCTCCAAAGTCATTACTATTGGGATGATGGAACATCTTTCAACGAATAACCAAAAACTTTAAATGTCATGTCAAGTTTGTTGAAGCCATTTTCAAGCCTTGTTCAAGGTTACATGAATATTGAGTGTTCCTGTTTTTAAAAAATGTAAGATCTATGCAAGGGATCACTCAAATGGCTGGTAGATAGAAGGATCACTTGATTTAAACAAAAAATAAAATAAATTTGTCTGGTCCTCTCTGGGAAAGTCAATCAAGAAGAATCAATTTATTTATAGATTATTGATCAATTTACTTATCAGCCAGAGCAACTCATTCTTATAGCTGGTGAGATAAGTCAAGATGGCTGTCACTTAGTTGTACATAGCCACAAAGAGACCAGAAAGGAAAAAAATTAGATTATCTTACATGATTAAATTACAAAACAGTTTTGATTTATTTAACATTTTAAAAATTTGTCTGACAAATTCTTACATATAAATAAGACACACTGTGTGTGATGTAATATCTTTTATTGGCTCATCTGCAGCTGGTAAAAAAGACAAACTTCTGAGTTCCACTGATCTCTTCTTCAGGTCTCTGAAAGGTAATCCGAGTGTCACAAATAAGTACAAAGTGGAACAGACTGTTAAACATAAGGAGCTAACACATCACAGGAAACCATTCAAAATGAAGTGAGCAATTATCAAGTTAGCTCACTAACTTTTTATCAAGTTAGCTCACTAACTTTTTATCAAGTTCTAGGTCAAAGGAGAGTTAGTGGGTTACAGATTGTGGTAATGTGACAAGAATCTAGTCTCTATTGAGTTAATGATTTTTAATGTCTATAAGAGATATGTGTGAAGGATTGGATCACAGAAATCCCTTTGATTTGCTGATCAAGGACTGATCCCATCTTTCTGCCCTAAGGGGCTCCCCACCACTCTGTCCTGCTAGACCAGAAGCTCTGGTCGCCCCCAGACAAGGCACAAAGTTGGGATTACCGCCTTGCTGCAGAACAACACATGCAGAACCAGTTCAGCCCTGAGAAGTCTCAGCTGTAGGGTCATTTGCAGTGCCCAGGAATAAAACCCTCAAAAGGGACCAAAACCCCAAATAAATTGGTCTAACCCTATGTAAAATTTTATACAGAGAAAGCTCGTAAACATGTTTACCCCCTTTAACAATGAAAAAGAAAGATGCACAGTGGTTTACACTGGACTTAATGATAAGAATGTTTTTATGAAGTACAAAAAGTAGGATTTCAGTGATTGCAAGTGAAAACAGACAGAGGGAAAGTAAGTTACTATGTTAAAATAAAAGATGCCAGCTAGTTCTAATCCACTACGAAACTTGTGTATAAATTCTTAACCTAAACAGTTGTTCTTATTTCAGGCCACAATTGAACAACTTCTGACTTGGGCCCAGTAGTTTTGCCTTCACCCTCTTGCTATAGTTCTTTGTTGCCAAGTTTCAGTGTGTATCCTCTTAGGGTGGGAAGTCAATTTCAAAAGCCAGCTGAAGACCTGGTTGCTTTCCATTGCTTAAATAGACTTTCTCCCAGAGTGGGGACCCTTTTTCAGTCCTCCCTATCCCCATGGAAGAGTACCAGATTCAAGATGGATTCCAGTACCAAGTGGCATGATCACATATATTGCTGGGACCAATCACAGTTTGGGATTACAGGAAGAGTACAATTAATCAGGGTCATTTGTTTGAGTACTGAGCCATCAAATTCCTAAAGCATCATTAATGGCCTTCATTACACGTTTAGAATTAGAACCCAATTCACTTAATATTTCTAACTTCATATACAAGAAAGATAAATTGATACATGCACAAAAATAAAATATACACATTCAGCAGATTATAACTTTAAAACTGATGTTACATAATGCATTTTGCATAAAACATCTTTGAGTTATGCATATTGATAAGCCAGTGTTCATAAAGCATTTAGAAACATAAATGTAAGCGACAAAGCTCACCTTCTGAAGGTGTTTTGTGGGTTTTCTTTGAGGAGAGAGACTGAGGGTACATCCACACTAGCCCCTTAGATTGATCTAGGGAGGCTAATGAGGGTGAGTGGAATTGCAAATCAAGCCCGGGATTTAAATATCCCGTTCTTGATTTGCATGTTCCCGGCCAGTTGCCATTTTTAGAAATTGACTAGCCCCAAGTAACTTCCCACGTCTACACGTGGCAGTGAAACGGGATTCCGATTTAAAGCCCCTAAATAAATAATAAATTAGGAATACCACCTAATTTGATTTAGGGCTTTATTTCGGAATCCCATTTCACTGTCACATGAAGACGCGGGCAGTTACTTTGGGCTAGTCAATTTCTAAATATTTAAATCCCGGGCTTGATTTGCAGTTCCGGTCGCCCTCATTAGCCTCCCTAGATCGATCTAGGGGGCTAGTGTAGACGTACCCTGAGAGCTCAGATATGGAATGATTGTTTTGTGAAAAGTATTCCCTACAATTGATATAGTCTTTTTGTCTTTTATCATTTTTATATACGAGTTTATTTGGCAGCATAGTGATCATATGATTTCCTCCACATAGTTACTGTTGGGGCATTTAATGCACTGGATGAGATACACCACATGTTGTGACAGCCATGTGTAGGAACCCTTCAGCTTGAAAGGAGTGCTGTGGGAGCATATTGATCATTGTAGCAGTGGAAGTTTGGGTGCAGGTTTTGCATCTTATATTATGGCAGGGCCTGATGCTTCTTTGAGTTGCTGAGTCCTGGTCTGTGAGGAACTGGCTTCTGATGGTAAGGTTGATGACTTGTGTGGGGGTTGTTTGAATGCCGGAAAAGGGTTTCAGAAAAGAATGCTTTCAAATATGGGTTGGAATTGTTTAATGATACTCTGTATGGGTTCCATCATGGGTGATAGATGGTAACGAGGGGTGTGTAGTCAATGAGTTGTTTCTGTATCAAAGCCGGTTCTGCCAGTGAATCTGGTTCGCTGGTAGAGTGTCCTTGTTTAGTGAAGGCAGTTTTAGGTTTGTTAAGGTATCTATCCTGAATTCCAACTTTGTCTATTTTTTGGAATCTTTCTGTATTGAAAAATATAACTAGAGCAATGTCTTTGTTTAGCAATAAGGTGAGACTTCTATTTTCTTCTCTTCTACAGAGAACCAGAAAACACAACTAGAAAAGTCACATTCACATCACAATATTGATTTCAATTTCACAAGGACTCCAATCACCAAGGAGCATAACTATGACTTGGAAACGAATTCCTCTATAACAAGGAGCAAGGCTGTTGGAAGAAAGGAGACATACAATGGAGAAAGCAACAAAGAAAAGGAAATGGAGTTTGTTGGCTCAGCTTCCAAAGGAGAAGTTGTTCCTGAAGTAGAGGCTTTGCTGGCAAGATTACGAGCATTGTAAGTTAATCTTATAAAACTGATTAAGCAATCACTAAAGAGAAGCTATAATAAGCTGCTACATTTTAAAAATACACATTAATTTTGCATGACTGACATTTACACACGTCTGTATTCCAAACTTCACATACTTTATATCCAAAACACAAATATGTGATGCTTTTCCTAGGAATTTGAGCCCGTGGTTTATGCATAACTAATAAGCATATAACTATAAACTACCTACTGACAGTTTGTTCTAATGTGTCTGGAGCAACAGATGCTAAATTACCCCAAGAGACAATTACTTTATTGTCCAGGTTTCCGAACAATGTTATAAGAACTTTTTTCCACCACACACAATACATTTTAAATAATTTCAACAATCATGTTTGGTTGCATTACCAACCTATATATTTTTCTATTTTATTTCTAAGTCTTACTACCAATGTAATTTTTAGCACCTACAAAAGTTCACTATTGTATCATACTAAATGCTTAGGGAGGAAAATGTATACTATGTAAATTTCTCCATATTTTAATTCACTTTAATCTAAATAAAAACACCAAAGAATGCTTAATAGTTTATGCATTAGCAAAATGGTAAAATGAACAGAAGCTTACATCTATATAAGAAATGTATTTTATGTATGACTGATATTTCATTGCCCTTAAACTTGTTTTTATGATTGTATAAAACCAATGTACAAAAGTTGTATGAATATAGTGTTGCAATTGTGCACATAGGATATTTCATAAGAAGCTACCAAAGGAATTGTTTCACTACCTTTGCAAGAGGAAACATAATACTGCAATAATAATATAAGGAACACCTAATGGCAAAGACATCTACAACTGGTTTTCGACAAACAAGTTTAATAGTAGCATGTACAAGATCATTTGCTGGCACAGGAGGAATCTCACACATAATTGCCTCTCCATTTTGACACAAGTCTTTGTACACTGTTACATGTTCACTAACCTATTATTGTTTATACACACCCACTACAAAAGCTTGCTACCAATACTATCAACTTGGAATCTACTATTAGGACATTTGATCCTTTATTTTAAAGTTTCTAATAATCAGAATGTATTCAGTGACACATTGCTTTTCAAATACTCTTATTTTTCTTTATAAATGAATCAATTAGCCAATGTTTCAAAGTTCCGGTGCTCTTTATTTCCTTGCTTAAATTGCCTTCTTATTTCCAGCAAAAAAATAATAAACTTAATTAATTAGAACTCTGAAACTGACCTGTTTATGTACCTTAGGGCATGGAGTATTTTTCGTTCATCACAGGCATGAGTCTTATGTTTCAGGGGCTGCTGAAACTACCATTATACCAGCTTGTTATATGCCCCTCCTCCAGCCATACTTTTTAGTACAATTTAATGTAAAGCATAGCAGAGAAATCCTCCCAAACCTAGGATTTCAGTTTGTCAGATTTTCAGTGCCATTTAAGAACCATGGAAGGAGTAACCATATTGAGGAAGCAGTTTGCTGTCTCCCATTAGCATCAAAGAGCTGTGGATCAGTGTTTAATGCATGTTCCTGGATGGACAGCAGCTGCTAGTCCAAAAAATGGACTGGAATACTGAATTCATGGGGAGATGAATTTAATGTCCAACTAAACCTAACTATTAGGATTAAATAGCTCCCTGCTCCTTCCCAGTTATCAGGAGTTGATACCCATCACCTCCACTTAGCCTAACACTGGAATTTCATGGGTAAAGAGTGAATTTAAGACTAAACAGGACAGATATTCATGTGTGATTTTACTCTAAAGGAATAAAAAATATTTTTCTTACTTTTGGCAGACTTAAGTAAATGGGGTACCAACGCTTTCCTTCTGAGGAAGAAAAATTCACTAATCTTTAGGTGGCTTATGCTGCTAATGATAAGATCCGTCCCCCCAAAAAAAACCCTCTTGTACATAATAATAAAGGTTGGATGTAGAGAGTAGAAGTAGCAACAGAGAACTGCAGCAGAACTGACCTTTTGGATGGAGATTCAAATGCAAGTTCTTCTTAAGCAAAATCATTTATTCATTTGAATTAGGAGGTAATAGCACAAAAAACTGACACAATTCAGTCCATTTGACAGTGTATGTTCCAGATGGACAAAGCATTCATCTAGGATGGAGACCAAATTATACCTTCTGTTTCTTAACAGTCTTTATTTTATGTAAAGTTTAAAATCTTGGCAAGATAATATGGATTAGTAAATTATAGCTGCATTTTTAAAGAGAAGAGAACTGGTAGCAGTCTAGAAGCTTCCAATCTTCAACCAAACAAACTTTTTTGTCTTTCTACTTCATCTTGATGGCTAGCAACTTTATAGTTTTGGTTAGCTGAGCTATAAGTGAGTAGTTATCATATATTATCTCAATGGCTCTTTATTGTGTACCATCATAATTCAGTTAAATTAGAATTGTCCAGTTATACCAGATGGACTGAATAATTCTAGATGACACTACATTTTATTCTGCAGTTTACCACTTTAATTAAACAATCGCCTACCTACTTATAATTAAGCAAATGTTTAGGATTGAGAGTGTATTTTTATAACTATTGCTATGGAACATTTAGTTTGGCATACAGTGAGGTTTTTTTTTCAGAATGACAAGTTTTATTTGGCTAAAACGTAAATATGACTAAAAAAACAGACACCTCCATTGATTTTCTGTGGCGTCATATTACTCATTAGACATATTAGGCCTCAACAACCCAGTACTAAGCACTAGTGGGTTATTTCTTTTGTGGTTGAGGGGGCATTCTTTTATTTTTTTTTTTAATCATGGCACAACTGGCTGTGTTAGAGTAGTGATTTAGGTTCACTGTCAATAATAGTTTATGGTGCACAATTTGCTGCTCAACCCAGCAGATGGTTCCCAACCTTTTTGATACCGTTGACTAGCAAACCTATTCACAAACATTTGATGAGCCAGTAGCATCTTATTTGCATGTTTATATATTCATTATGCAAATGATAAATATGCAAATAAAACCTTGCCAGCCCACCAAAAGCTGAGCCCCCACAGCCCTAACTCATAGAGCCCCTGACCCTTCCACTACCCCCCAGCACCAGCCACTGACCCCACAATCCCCTGCACCCAACTCCTCAGAGCCCCCCAGTGCCAGCCGCCCAGTTCTTAGTTCCCCCACCAGACCCCTCCATACTAGCCTTCTGTTCCCAGAGCCCTATGGCACCCAACCCCCAGAGCCTACCCCAGTGCCAGTCCCCAATATTAGCCTCATCCCCACCCACCTAGCTCTGTGCTGCTGCCCAGCGCCTCCCCTCCCATCGCAGCTGTTGGGAGAGGCGTGTCCTGCCCCACAGTCCCCAGTGCTTGCCCTGCCCCCTCATCTAGCCCTGTGATACTGCCCAAGTTGAAGTATCCCTGGGGGTGGGGAACACCACCCATCACCTCCCCTCCCACCGTGGCTGTTGGGAGAGGAGTGTCCTGCCCCACCTCTCAGCCAACCTGCAGGGTTAGTGTATCATTCAGTGGCTCCCTACTTAGGTACAGCTTTTGTGCTACTGATTAGCATGTCTCAAGAATCCATTTTGCAATATTTTTTGAAATGGGGCTTCTACATTCTCCACTAGGCAGTTCCTCGCATTTTTTCTGCTACGCCTTTTTATCTGATTCAGGAGAACAGACCTGCCTACTACATTGTCTTAACATAAAATATGCAGTATTATAAGTGGTTCATTTCCACCTTGTATTGCTTGTGTCCTTAAAGTACTTTCTTCACTGGTGTCCTCCTATTTGGGATCAGAGAAATTCATGAAGGCACTAATGATTTGTGTCACCATCCCAGGATATCGCTAACGGCATATTTGTCATGGATTAGTTCCAGGAAGGGGACTAAGGCCTCATCTACGCTACACAGTTTTCTCAACAAAAGTCAGTTTTCATTTCTGTTCTTCAAATTTCTTGAATCCTGCATTATGTTTTTGAGCCTATTCTCTTATAACAACACAATAGACTTAAATCAGAGGCCTACATGAAAGGGAGAACCTTGCTAATAAAAACAAAATATACTCAACAGCCTGAAAATATTGAAGCATCATTTCATAATGCATTAATATTGCTGTCCCCACACAACAAGTTACACCAATGAAAATTCAAAATAAACCCACTGGACTTAGCCTGGATTTCATAGACTCACAGACTTACTAAAACTAGAAGGGACCGTGAAAGGTCATGAAGTTCAGTCCCCTGCCCTTCCAGCAGAGCCAAGCACCATTTAGATCATCCCTGACAGATGTATGCCTAAGCTGCTCTTAAATATCTCCAACCTCACTAGGCAATTTATTTCAGTGCTTAACCACCCTGACAGGAAATTCTTTCCAATGTCCAATCTAAACCTCTCTTGCTGCAATTTAAGTCCATTGCTTCTTGTCCCATCATGAGAGGTTAAGGAGAACAATTTTTCTCCTTCCACTTCGTAACACCCTTTTAGGTACTTAGAAACTGCCATCATGTTCCCGCTCAGTATTCTCTTTTCCAAACTAAACAAACCCATTTCTTTCAGTCTTCCCTCATGGGTCATATTTTCTAGACTTTTAATCATTTTTGTTGTTCTTCTCTGGACCCTCTCCAATTTCTCCACATCTTTCCTGAAATGTGGTACCCAGTACTAAACACAATACTCCATTTGAGGCCTCCATCGGCACACACCGGAGGGGAAAATTACTTCTCATGTCTTGCTTACAACACTCCTGTTAATGCATTCCAGAATCATGTTTGTTTGTTGTTCGTTTTGTATCAGTGTCACATTGTTGACTTGTGGTTCACGATGAACCCTACCTTTTTCTGCAGTACTCCTTCATAGACATTTTGTATGTGTGAAACTGATTACACCTCCCTAAGTGAAGTACTTTGTATTTGTCCTTATTGGATTTCATCCTATGTACTTCAGACTATTTCTCCAGTTTGTGCAGATCATTTTGAAATATGACCCTACCTTCCAAAGTACCTGCAACCCCTCCCAGGTTGGTATAATCTGCAAACTTTATAAGTGTATTCTTGGGGCCGTTATCTAAATCATTGACAATATTGAATAGAACCTGTCCCAAAACTGATCTCTCTCTACTTGTTCTGCCCTTCCAGCATGACTGTGACCCATTGATAACTATTCTCTGAGGCCATGTATACACTACAGATAAAAACGAAGCAACTGCTATCAACCTTCTGGGGTTCTAATTAGTGGATCTAGTGAAGGGTGTGCCCATCAATGCTGGTACTCCTGCTTCTATGAGGACTTAGGGAAGTCAAAGGGTGAATGGCACCCACTTTATAGTAGCCCCATTTTCATTGTATTTCCCTAGTTTATTGATAAGATGGTCATGTGAGACTATATCAGATGCCTTACTAAAGTCTAGGTATACCACGTCTACTGCTTTCCCCTTATCCACAAGGCTTATTATCCTTCCAAAGAGAGCTGTCAGATTGGTTTGATATGATTTGTTCTTGACAAATCCATGCTGACTGTTTCTTATCCTATTATCTTTCAGATGTTTGCAGATGGATTCCTTAATTATTTGTTCCATTATCTTTCCTGGCAAAGGAGTTAAGCTGACTGGTTGGTAGTTTTCTGGGTTGTTCTTATTTCCCTTTTTATAGATGGGCACTATATTTGCCATTTTCCAATCTTCTGGAATCTCTCCTGTCTTCCATGACTTCTCAAAGATGATGGCTAATGTCTCAGATACCTCCTCTATCAGCTCCTTGAGTATACTAGGATGCATTTCATCAAGCCCTGTTGACTTGAAGACATCTAATTTTTCTAAATAATTTTAACTTGTTTTTTTCTTATTTTAACTTTTGAACCTGCCCAAATTTCACTGGCATTCACTGTGTTAGACATCCAATCACCACTAGATTTCTTGGTGAAAACCAACACGAAGTTGATAAGCACCTCTTTCATGTCCATGTTTTCTGTTATTTTTCCCTCTTCATTGAGCAATGAGCTTCTCCTGCCCTTGATCTTTGCCTTGCTTTTATTATATTTGTAGAATGTTTTCTTGTAGCTTTTATCTCTCTTGATAGATTGAACTATTTCTGTGCCTTCATCTTTCTAATTTTCCCCTTACATACTTGTGTTATTTGTTTTTATTCATCCTTTGTACTGTGACCTAGTTTCCACTTTTTATAGTTTTTTTGTTTTTTAGATCAAAGCCAGGTTAACCCAGGGTGGTCTCCTGTCATACTTCCTATCTTTTCTACCTAATGGAATGGTGTGCTCTTAATAATGTCTCTTTGAAAAACTGCCAACTGCCTTTATTTGTTTTTCCTCTTAGTCTTGCTTTCCTAGACCTTACCTTGCTTTCCTGGATCTTACCTACCAGCTACCTGAGTTTCAAAAGTGTGCGTTATATAGAGAAGTGCCCCTTTTTTATTGATGTACTCCATCACAAGATGGTCTGGGCCAAAATGTGTGCCATCTAATGCCCCACCTCAGGGAATCCCACTGCCACA